GCTGTTTTCTTGCATTTTTGCTTTGCATATTTTGATGGACTGTTACTAGGCACTGTTACATCTTCAATAGAGAATGCTCCTATACAAAGTAATTTTTCTTCCTTAAATTCTCTTTTCTTAAAATCTCATTATGAGTACTCTTCAGTTGTTTTGTGAACCTTTTGCCTTGTCTATACCAATCACTCTGTTTAATCAGTGTCGTTTCATCTTAGGTGAGTCTCTATTAAATGTGTTGCGCGCACACACACGCACAAACACACTTGCACTGGTACACACATACACGGGACTTCATTTTTTGACCCAAATTGAAAGTCTAGGGGTGCCTGAGTGGTGCAGGTCATGACCCCAAGGGTTCTGGGATCAAGTCCCCTGCATCGGGCTGTTCAACGGGGAACCTGCTTCTCCCTCTCCTCCCCCTGTGCTCTCACTATTTCTCTATCTCTGTCTCTCTCTCAAATAAAATCTTCAAAAAAAATTGAAAATCTAACTTTAAGTAGGGACATTTAGGTGACATGTGGATTCTATTATCCTTCTTAGTTTGTCTGTTTCTTGAGTCTCCTTTCCTTCGCTGTGCATTGATCAAGGCTCCTTTGTTTTCACTTTCTACAGAATGTGCAAGAATTGACTCTACTTCCCCTTTATGTCTTTCACTTCCTGATTATTCCTCCCCCTACCCAACCAGATGTCTATTTTCACTGTTCTAATGTAACGGCTCTAATAAGCCACCAATAACTTCTGATTCCTAAATACAGTGAACACTTCCCTTTTCACTGAGCCCTAGTCTACTACACCCTCCTTGTGACATTCAACACATCGACTGCCCACTGCCCCTTGTTCTAGGACCCTGTGCTTTTCTAGATTTTGCCTGTCTTGATATTTCTGTCCTCTTCGTCTTCCCTCTTCCCTCCCATTCCTCCTCCAGCCGCTCCTCTCCAGGTGCTAACCCCCTACCCCTCCCATCTGTATTCTATCTCTGGTGATTTCATCCACTTGTGGCTTTAGTTTCTATAAAATACGACTGACTTCCAGATCTCCAGTCCAGATCACTTTTCTGAGCCCTAAACTAACATATACCATCATTCTCTTGACATTTCTGTGTGATGTCTGACTGACACATCAACCCTGACATGTCCGAACATGAGTCCGTGACTTTTCCCTCATGCTGACCCTCTCTCCTTTCCTCCATCTGATCAAACTGCATTAACAGTGACCTGCTTGTTGCTCAGACCATAACCTGCGAGTCATTACTGGACCTTTCTATCCTTTACCTTTGACCTCTAACATCACTAAGTCCAAATGATTCTGCCTCCTACGAGTGGTCAGGGGATGGTCTGAATGACCGCCCCCTCCTGCAAGGTATCTGACTCTCAATTTCTTCATCAACATATGTGGATAACCAAAGTATCTACCATAAGGGGCTGTACAGAGCTGCTGTATGGATTAAATGAGAAGAAAGTCCTAAATACTCAGCACCATGACTAACATATAGTAGGTGCTTAATAAATTGTAGCTAGCTAGTATGTAACTAAATAAATTACTTTCTTTCTCTCTCTCTCTCACTCACACACACACACACACACACATTTTGGTGTTCACCTTCATTTGGTTTTAATGTTCTACTGTCCTACCTTTGAGACCTTGACTTGCGTGTTCTTATCAGTATCCTATCTCAAGAGCAGAATCTGAGTCCCTAACATCCTCTGCCCAGTTCCTAGCACACCCCAGCATGGTTATGAACTTTTACAAACCTCTTCAAATGATTTACCTGCAAATACAAATATTCCCCTCCAGTATCATACAGTGGTTTCAAGCAGCCTCTAATCCAACCTCTTCCTCCGAGGTCCATGAACAAGTAAACACACGTAGGCCTATACAAATATCACACGTGTTGAAAGTTGCAGAGTAAAATCATCTTGGGACTTGCCATAAAGGTCCTGTGAGCCCTGGTTAAGGAAGCAACCACCATCACAGCAAGACATGCCCCTTTTACAACATATAATGGCAGGGACAATTCACTCTTTGTCATTTATTACTTTTATTTGGACAACATATATACATATGTACAAAATACCTACGGTCAGAATCCTCTTTTATAATTTCATTTGATTTACAAAAACGGGACAGCAAAATAACTTAGGTCACTAATACTGTACAAAAATAAAACTGATTAAACAGTTGTAAAGATCAGTATCTTACAGTGTTACAGATCATTCATCTGTTGTGAAAGAACATCTCAATCTATCCAGAGTGATGAGCGCTGTGCTAAATCTACCTGCAAACTGACAACTAATCAATTCCTGTAATATGGCTACCAAATATAATTCTCAAAAGAAGCATGATGTAGAGCTAGACCTTAAAGCCAGGGCATCATTCCACAGTGGTGAAGGGCTTTCTTCTTCCCTAACCAAGGAGAGGAGTTATCTTAACTCTAAAACTATTAAATTTTCCAGAATATAACAACTACTTACAGTATTAGATAAAACGACTTTTCTTTCTTTTTAAACACCTGCAATAGTCTTTCAAAAAATTCAGTTTGGTTAAAAAAGTAAACAAAAATTACTATCCTGCATTTGGATTTTTATAAGTTAAATCCATGGTCTTTTTAATATAAAAAGTAATTGCTTCATAGTTTTAGTGTTCAATGAACTCTAGTAGTCCTATTTGAACCATATCTCGATATAGTAAATCTAATTAGAATGCTGGTTCCTGTTTCGTGACATTTTAAAACAGGATTTATCACGAAGAATAAAAAGCCTTGAGTTTATACGTTACGTTACTATAACATATAAGAGAATATCAAATGTGTGTTCTTCAACAACTTGAAAAGGCAAGTAACAACTTTTTTTGGGAAGTAAATTGTGCATTTTTTTTAAAACAAGTTGCTGCATTTATATCCATCTAAGTAAGTGCTGGACAAAAGCCACATATAGATTTACTCCTGAAACTACAAAGATTGTCTTTCACTGACTTTGCTTGGTTTTCCTTCATTTCTTTCTGTGAGGGGAAGATGAGTTTGTCCAAGTTGGTGGGTTGCTAGGCAACCCCAAACTCCTCACTCACTAAAAGGCGGCGTGCAGAGGATCACAAGCAGGACCGTTCCATGAGCTCAGTAAGAAATAGACAGCCTAACCTATTTCGTATGGAAGAACAGATGTCCTTGAAACTTATTTTGGACACAGAAATTAAAATTTGGTTTAAAATAAGCGTTTCAAAAATCTGAAACAGAGGTAGAAAGTGTTCTTTATTTTTCCTGACATGTTTTCCCGTGAGAAAACACTTTCCTTTTTATCTCAATGGACTGTTCCCAGTCCCTAATGTTAAAAGCAGTTCTCTTTATAGAACTACTAATACAACTACGTTGGTTAAACAAACAAAAAAAAAAATAACACCGTGCTAGTGATGGCTATTGTATTGGAAGTCAGAGTCAGCCAGGACCCACGCCTGCCGTAGGAGCCCACACTGCTTCTGGACTGGAAACGCGCCTGTGTCGGGTGAAGTCACGAGTTCACCTTCAGGGAGGCCCCCTACGTTTGCACGACACAGCTTACAGCACGTGTATAAATGAGAGTGCACCATAGCTCCCTGGTTTATATACTGGATAAAATTGTCAGGAAGCATGATTTCTGACAAAAGAAAATGTAAACATTTCTCCCATGGTCACTGCTGACTCTCTTACTTGAGGTTTCTTCTTCGCTATGAAAACAGTTCATTGTTCTGACCACGTGAAGGCCAAACTTAAGTTTTCAGGTAAATGGCATATTATGGATGTAGTGGTTTAGGCCATTGTAGACACCTGGATATAAGATATCTAGTGGTGAGGCTTCTGATGTCAAAGGTACAGTGATGTGTTCTCATTCACACGCGTTCCGTGTACCCTCGTTTTCCAAAAGGGACCGTGCTGAAGTCACCTTGGAAATCATCATGGTATATTCCCTTGGGGCTCCCCACTTACAGAGGGATATGTTTCTCTTTTCACATGTCAGCTCCTTTTTCCTTTTACATAACTCTTGCACCTGTTTGTGGGAGTTTGTAGGAACACGGGCAGGAGACCAACACACCTTTTTCTCCACCAAATCGGTGTTTCCCGAGCAAGTTACTGTTTTGCACCCATTCAGATAAAACCCAACAGAGTCAAAACCCTCTCGCTTCGTGGCATTAAAACAGTAAGGTGATGTTAACTAAAAGGATCGGAAAATTTGGAAAAGTTAATAGAGTTAAAATTCTGTTTGTTCTTTTTGATTTTTTTTTTTAAATACTACCCTCCTCCTCCTTCAGCATCTGTCGGATGTATTTTGCCCTCCCATCTCTGCCATGATTTCATAGGGAAATGTGTATACTATATAAAAAAAAAAAGCAGATTATAACGTGGTTCCAAACAGAATGTCTGCTTCTACCCTTAAAGCACGTATTTAACTTATTCATCCTCTGCATTAGAAAATAAAAGTGCAGCTTATGTTCAAATAGTACAATTCATACAAAGCAAGGTTTAAAAGTTCTGTACTTAGTGTAACCTTTCAGAGGTTTGTCTTGATTAGTATAAATTCAGACTGCTTACCCATTGACTATAAGTAACTTTTTTTTTTTTGTGGTTTTTGTTTTTGTTTTCAAGTCTTTAGAGGACAGATCATGCTGGAGTAGATGTGCTCTTGCTTGCATAAAGACAGCTGTGCTATGGCGTGTTTTTTGTTTTGTTTTTTTTTTTTGTTTTTGCTTTTTGTTTTTGTTTTTGTTTTTTTGTATCTCAAAGGTTAACGTGATTCAAGAGAGTGGTTTTTGCTAAAGAAACCGAAGCACACTCGTCATTACATCGAAAAAGGTAAGAAAACAATTCTGGAGAGAGACAGCAAGCAGAAAGGGGCCCAGCGTCACCCCGTGACGCCGCAGGTCCGCTCACCGGGTCGGACGTATGTACACCAGTGTTGAATCTTTAAAATTCTGCCCCCCCAAGTCTGGGCTTTGCCCCCCTCCCCCCCGGCCCCCCTTAACCCCCCCCCCGAAAAAATAAAGGAGAGAGAGAGAGAGAGAGAGAAGGAAAAAACAGAAAAGCATTTGCCTTCCCTCCAACAGTCAGAGACGCTGGGAGCTGCCCCGCGGGCCCAGGTGCGGACCTTGACGCCAGGCTACGCTGTGCTTTTTTAGAAAACGCTGCGGGGAGGGGGCGTCCTGCGTCCTGCGGGCGGCCGAGCCCGGGCCGGGGGCGCGGGGCGCGGGGCGCGGGGCGCAGTCCGGCCGGCGGGCGGGCGCGGCCCCTCACAAGGGGTGGGCCAGCGCCTTTTTGGAGCGCTTGATCATACTGGGGTGGAACTCGGTGTGGCGCCGCGCGTGCTTGGTGAGGTGGTCGCTCCTCATGAAGCGCTTCTCGCACAGCGGGCAGCGGAACTGCTTCTCGCCCGTGTGCGTCCGGTAGTGGCGCGTCAGCTCGTCCGAGCGCGAGAACTTTTTAAGGCAGTCTGGCCACGTGCAGGGGAAGGGCCGCTCACCTGCGGGGGGGGCGGGGGAGACAGGACGCAGGTGAGACAGCAGCGTCGCGCACGCGGCAACCATCCCCGGCCCGGCCCGGGGGCACACGGCCCTCTCACCTGGGGGCCGATTGGTCCCCCGCAGCCACACCCCCGCACCTGCCACCATCACCCCCCGCCGCCACACCCCCGCACCTGCCACCATCACCCCCGCCGCCGCACCTGCCACCATCACCCCCCACCGCCGCACCTGCCACCATCACCCCCCACCCCCGCACCTGCCACCATCACCCCCCCACCCCGCACCTGCCACCATCACCCCCCGCCGCCCGCACCTGCCACCATCACCCCCGGCCGCCCGCACCTGCCACCATCACCCCCCCACCGCCGCACCTGCCACCATCACCCCCCCACCCCCGCACCTGCCACCATCACCCCCCGCCCCCGCACCTGCCACCATCACCCCCGCCGCCCGCACCTGCCACCATAACCCCCCACCCCCGCACCTGCCACCATCACCCCCCCCCCGCCCGCACCCGCCACCATCACCCCCCCACCCGACCCGGAGCCCGCATCCCCGGTGCTGGCATCCTGCCCACCGCCCCCCTGGGGACCTCAGAAAGGGGCTGCATTTGGGGACAGAGAGCGACCCCAGAAGGAACCAGCGCTGCTGACTCCCTCACCTTGGGGCTGGAGCCTCCCACACCGAGCAATCCGTTTCTGTTCTGTAAGCCACCCACTCGGGGACACCTGGCCGGCCAGTGAATACGTGAGGACGGTTCGGAGAATCATGTTCTCCGGGCACATGAACCTGATATGTGATCCCACTGGATCCCTGGCAGCCTTGGAAAGTACTGTTATTTGGGGGGACGGGGTGGTGGTGGTGGTTATTCTACGGGGTTGCTGGTTCCATCCGTTCCGTGGGAAAGCCGGAGAGTGGGAAGCCCTAGCCCTTTGCTGGATTCGCCGGCACCGCAGGACTGAGGCGGCTAGTCCAGCCAGGCTGTCACCTGGAGCAGGTGTTTCCCCCTGAGCTCCTGAGTGCTGTGGCCACCGAGCCTCTGGCTGACCCAGTCTGGTGACAGGGAAGCCAGCAGCCACAGGAAAGAAAGCCTGCTTGTTCCTGAGCATCTCAGTAACAAACACTTTTGGAGACACACAGAGTGCCTCCTGTGTAGGCCATATTTTAGGTCATATTGTATTATTATTATTATTATTATTATTATTATTATTATTATTATTTTAGTAATCTCTATGCCCAAAGTGGGTCTCAAACTCAAGACCCCAAGATCAAGAGTCACATACTCTTCTGATGTAGCCAGCCAGGCACCCCAAGTCATACTGTCTTATACAAAAAACAAGTTTGTTTCCTCTGCCACATAATAATCCTTCAAATATCTGAAGACAGCTATCATGTCTCTCTCTCTCTAACCTCTGTTCAGACTAAGCAGTCTCGGTTTCTTTCATATTTCTCATACAAAGAAATTAACATTATTCTAAAATAGTAAGAGCTAAGGCATCCTGTCACTGAATTCTCACAGGACACCCTGTGGAGGTGGCCCATTTCACAGATGAGGAAACAGGTTTAGCACTTGCTGGTGTTTCCAGCACCCCCTCCTTTGCGGCTCCTCTCCTCAGAGTCAGTATAGTGTCTTCATGTCTCACTTTATTAAAATGCGACTGAGCCTCACCCTCCAGACATGATCGAGTTAGCACTGAGGGCCTCTGCCATGGCAGGAGAGGGCCTATGGACATGTTTGCTGAGGACACACACAAGCAGAAAGGCAGAAGGAGCTGTTGATGATAAGAGAGTCTTGTGTGCCCTTCTTGTGAGCACCTAACTGCTTTCTTCTCACCTTGTTCAAGCACAGCCCAAAGCTGCTGCCTTACAGACCCAGGGCACACAGGCTCCTGCCTTCCACAGAACTCTCCAGACACTCCTTTGGAAGGTGTGAGGAGTGCATGTTTTCTCACTCCAGTTCCCACCTTCCTGGAACCCAGAGACTCAAAAGGCTGAGAGCTGTCCACTGCAGTGCATCTGAGTCATCCACATATTATTCATCCTTTCCTTCCAGTGTCTCCTACCTCGTGCCAGAGATGTAGAAATACTGATCATAAGAACAAAACCAAAGCTCGGTCATTTCTGTGACAGTCCACACATGGCTAAGGTCTTATTTGCTATTCTCTCAGCACAGCCATGGTTATCATGCCCTGTACAATCTCTTTATTCTTATGGGAAACCTGATATGGGGAATACAAATCTCTATTAGTAGATTCGTTATACGTGGGTCTAGGTACGAACCCTCACTGAGCCAGGGGGCTGAAGAGCCATACCAGCAAAGGCAACAGCAAACCCGTGAATGCCAAGCCCTACCCAAGGTGGATGGGTATTGGGGTTAATGAGGCAAGAGGATGCTCAAAGACTCAGAGAGGGCCAAAAAAAACCCAAAACTAAAGAAGAAACCACACTTCAAACTGAACACTTTTGAAAAAACTCAATGACACGGAATTTAGAGACCACACTTCAACTTCTGCTGGATCAAACAGTTTTCTACATGGTTCAGAACTTGGAACAAATGTGGAATGCAGGTTGTCACAACACAATAAGGTTGAGCCTCTTGGGATGAAGACAGCATCATGAATGATTTTTGTACTACTTATACCACCAAGCATTTAGTAAATGCCTAAATTGTGTGTGTGTGTGTGTGTGTGTGTGTGTGTACGTGTACACATACAGCTGAGGTTGCTCACATGACGAAAGCCTGCTCAGAAGTTTCCTAGATCGCTGGGGGAAGACAACTCCTGTCTCTTCCAGAATTACACTGCAACCAAGTCCTCTTAACTCCAGTGAAAGGTCTATGGGAGAAATATTCTCTTAAATATGTTATGTTAAAAAATATAACGAAGGGTTAGAACTCACACAGCGATGAATTATAAAACCAAACCAAAGCAAGCCAAACGGAACAACCCTCACTGCTCTCTCCATACTGGATGAAGCCTTCTCTCCCCTGCTTTGTGATTTGGTGGTGAGAAAAGCGATGAAAAGGAAAGGCTCAGTGTTTTCTCAGTGCTTGTTAGGACAAAAACTCATCAGAGCGATTTTTCATGGAGGACTGGTAATGTGGTTTAGCTTACTCACTGGCACATGTTTCTTTCAAGTGAGTCACGAGAGGAGGTTAATTTACTGGAGTGGATCTGTGTCCACTGCGGGAAAGATGGATCAGAAGACCACTCGGCTATGCTCCAGGTTGGGAATGAAAGAAGACACGCCCTCTGTTCTAGGAAGATGGCTTTATAGAAGAGATAGTGGATGGAAAATTACCATGCAGCCTGAATCAGCTGTATGTACAGAACCATTAAGTATTTATGATGATTTATGTAGGTTTCAAGTGTAATCAGGGTCCCTTCCCACTGAATTCACCTTCAGTCTAGCTTCTGGCTCTACTGTCTTCACTGCTCCTCATGGTTGTCACCATGTGACTGTTCTCTTGCTTCTAACCCAGATGCTACCATTGACGTAGCATCTCTATCCCTGTTTCAGAGAAGAGAGGGCCACCTACTGAGCCCAGAGCAAATCAGAGCCACCAGCAGCCTTTGTTAGACTCATATAACTTGTGTAATTCCACCTTACAGTTTCTGAGCATTTAAAAAAAGATCTACCTGGAAGTGAAATGCTAGTGTAAAAGCTCCAGGATCATTTTGATTCTTCTTGGATCCTTTGGAAAAACATTAGTGATCTAAATCAGGGGTTTAGCAAACTACAGCCCGCAGGCCCAATCTGACCCGCCATCTATTTTTGTAAAGTCCAGGAGCTAAAAATGGTATAAATACCATTCTTATTTTGGCTTTCACCAAATCGTTGGGGAGAAAAAAATCAAAATAATAATAATATTCTGGGATAGGAGAAAGTTTGATGAAATTCAAATTTTCACATCCATATACAAAGTTTACTGGACCAGGGGATCCCTGGGTGGCGCAGCGGTTTGGCGCCTGCCTTTGGCCCAGGGCACGATCCTGGAGACCCGGGATCGAATCCCACGTCGGGCTCCCGGTGCATGGAGCCTGCTTCTCCCTCTGCCTATGTCTCTGCCTTGTCTCTGCCTCTCTCTCTCTCTGTATGACTATCATAAATAAATAATTTAAAAAAAAAGTTTACTGGACCATAGTCATGCTCATTTGTTTATATATTATTATTACCTATGGCTGCTTTTTACTATAACAGCAGTGTCAAGCAGTTGCAACAGAGAATGGATGGCCCACAGAGTCTAAAAGATTTGCTACCTGGTCCTGCATAGAAAGTTGGCTGACCCATGATCTCAGCCTGAGGATTTGAACTTTTACCTGGTGTATACAAGAGTTTGCAAATCCAAATGTCTTCAGGAGCCAGACACATAATGAAAAATGGGTGAAATGCCAGCTGTATTAGATCATGGGTTGTAGTGGAATCCATGGCCAACCGGACAGTGCTTTGTCCCCTCAAAGGCATTCAAATTCAACACTTTATAAAGCATTGTGCCAGCCAAACAATGTGTGTGTTTACAGGAAGGCTGGATTCTTCTTGTGGACTGAAAATTTGTAGGCCTTTGAAACCACTCACTTCTTTAACCCAGTGAAGAGTCTGCATACCACCTACTTTGGTATGTTAGTTAATAATAGACATACAATAAGGTAGCATGTAAAAAATGATACATGTTTTGTACCTAAGAAAGTATGGATTGGCTAAATATGTAGAGAAGGAAGAATTTAAGGCTGAATGGGATGAGAGATTGTGGGCAGAGGAGGAAAAGAGAGGTCTTGGAGAAGCTGTGGCTGGCTTTTCATCCTGTACCCAAGAGAAAATCGAGTCAGGCCTTTCAGCTCAGTGCCAAGGCCCACAGAAGAACAGTTAACCTTCTTCACGCCAAACAAATCATATGGCAAAGCAACTACCAATTAAAGAATCTTTAAACTTGTCTTCAGCATTAATGAGAGAGTTACCATCCTCCAAGGGAGAGGGGCGGGGGAAGAACAGGAATGTACTA